CCTGCTGAAAATCGGGGAGGCACCAGACTTGCAAAAGAAAATCATGAGAGCTTTTTTGTGCTGCAGACTTGTAAGTGCTACGCATCTTGATCTGCAAATAAAAATCCCAAACTATTTGTATTTACGCTTGAACAACTTCAAAGTGATTCTGAGATAACAGCACTCCAGTGGTGATGGCTGTATTAGTGTTAAAGTCGGCTTCTCAACAGAGGTCGTTGTGGCTTACTGCTCAGCTCGTCTCTGGGCTCCCAGGTTTGTTTCTTTTTACTGCCTAGAGTCTGCAACAGTTAGGATCAGTACTTGTAACTCAAGCTACAGTGGTAGATCATGACAGAATATATTAGGGAGCACTTGAACTGAGAGGTAAATTAGGGCATGGAGGGGGATGCTCCATTTGGGAGGCGGAGAGAAACAAGGGAAAGCACAAAATTCTGCACTGAAAAAGTAGGGAATGCAGTAGGCAGTGGTTGATGGCCTGAGGCTGGGATCCTATTCAGAAGTGAGGCACAACTCTGTGCATGACCTGACAAAGGTGGGAGCTGCTGCTGCTCTTCATCTCCTGCCATTAAAGAAAGCATTTGCCTGTAGTATTACTCATGGCAATATCTGGACAAATTAAGCTTAGTAAGCTTAGGGTAGGTTTTGTTCACCAGTACTGAGCTTTTCTTACAAAGTTAAATTGGCTAAGAATATTAAAAACACTAGCTGTCATAGCTATGCCAGCAAGCCTGATGGTATAAATGTAACGGTGTGGAGAAAGAAGGGCTTAATGCAATCTGAAGAAGTGATGCATCACTTAGTGATTATCTGAGGATGACCTCATTATCGTACTACTCGAGCATTGCGAGTGCTTACGGGATAATGTCATTGCAGTGCCATCTGGTGACAAATACTGGAATTATCACTGGAACTTTATAATAGACTAAAGTGAAAATAAAGATATAAAACCGACAATAAAATTATCTTTCTGGTCCCTGATGGACAGGATGACTTGGATTTGCTATTTTTAAACCTGGTGGGCAAGCCTCCTTTCTCTGTTCTCCTCAATATTAGCATAATTCAACAAGATACATTCATTGTTTTTACATGGAGAGAAATGTGTATGAATCACATTTATAAAATAATCTGTAAAATCTAACCTAATATGGTTATTACCCCCAGGGATCCTGGGGTGCATCAAGAAGAGTGTGGCCAGCAGGACGAGGGAGGTTCTCCTTCCCCTCTACACTGCCCTGGTGAGGCCTCATCTGGAGTACTCTGTCCAGTTCTGGGCTCCCCACTTCAAGAAAGATGAAGAGCTACTGGAGAGAGTCCAGCGGAGGGCTACGAGGATGGTGAGGGGACTGGAGCATCTCCCCTACGAGGAGAGGTTGAGGGAACTGGGCTTGTTCAGCCTGAGGAAGAGAAGGCTGCGAGGGGACCTTATAAATGCCTCTAAATATCTGCAGGGTGGGTGTCAGGAGGATGGGGCCAAGCTCTTTTCAGTGGTGCCCAGTGACAGGACAAGGGGTAATGGGCACAAACTGAGGCACAGGAAGTTCCGTCTGAACATGAGGAAGAACTTCTTCCCTCTGAGGGTGACGGAGCACTGGAACAGGCTGCCCAGGGAGGTTGTGGAGTCTCCTTCTCTGGAGATATTCAAGACCCGCCTGGACAAGATCCTGTGCAGCCTCCGTTAGGTTACCCTGCTTCAGCAGGGGGGTTGGACTAGATGACCCACAGAGGTCCCTTCCAACCCCTACTATTCTGTGATTCTGTGATTCTGGTTAGTAGTCACCTATAAACATGCCATCTTAATAGATTTTTTATGTGAATAAAAAACAGTATTTCAGAATTACATGAGTATGAGAAGTCAATATTATTCTCTAAAACAACACTGGTCTCAAGGAAGCAAGGACTGAAAA